CTGGGGCTGGTTCTACGACTACCACTACGCTCCCAAGATCTCCGACCTCAAGAACGTCGGCCAGATGAAGTTCGAATTCGAGCTCGGCAAGCCCTTCCGACCCTTCGACCAGCTCATGGGCGTCCTTCCCGCCCTCAGCAACCAGCACATCCCCACCGCTTTCCGCGACCTCATGACCGACCCCAACTCGCCCATCATCGACTTTTACCCGTCCAACTTTGAAGCCGATCTAAACGGCAAGAAGCAGGACTGGGAGGCCGTCGTCAAGATCCCCTTCATCGACGAAAAGAGACTCCTCGAGGCGCTCGATAAGCGCGAGGTCTACCTCGGCATCGAGGAGCGTAAGCGCAACGGCTTTGGTCACAGCCGCGAGTTCACCTACAACGAGGACGGTGAGCTCTTCTTCCCCTCCAGCCTTCCCGGCACCTTCCCCGATCTGGTGCATTGCCGCGCCGTCGTCAAGAACTTCAACTTGCCCACGCTCGATGGCCTCCACCTCGTTAAGGGCCTCACCAAGGGCGTCGAGCTGGGTGTCCGTGCGCTTGCCGGCTTCCCCAGTCTCAAGACACTTCCCCACTACGGCCGTCTGGGTCACCACGGTGTCAACATCTTCCAGTCCGACTCCAAGGGCGTCAGCATGGTCGTCACCATCGAGAATGCCTACGAAGATGCAAAGACCGAGGCCATCGCCAATGCCATGATCGGCAAGCGCGCCTTCTTGAACTGGCCCTTCCTCACCGAAGGTCTCGTCGTCGGTGTATCCGACTCTCTCTTCCGATACGAGATGGGTATCGTCGGCGGTCAGCAAAAAGTGATTGCCACCCCTCACCAGTCTGCCACGCTCAGCGACTTCCAGCGAAAGGCCGAACGCGCCGAGTATCAATACAGCAAGCGCATGGGTGTTCTCATCGGCGACGTCGATGTGCTCGTCCACATTCGTCCGCTCAAGGGCCTCAAGCGCCTCGACGACGGCGCCTTCATCAAGGACTACGAGGAGACGTCCAAGAAGGAGATTGACCAGGCCGTCCAGGTTACCGTCACCAACGTCGTGCACGACGATGCCCGCTTCCTCGAGTCGCCCGCCAAGCCTATCCGTGAGGAATACCCCGACAAGACCAAGGTCTTCTTCCTTGGCGCCAACGCCTACGGTACTCCTGCCCACGTCGTCGGCAGCACCGACGCCTCGCTCGCCATCGAGGTGGCCTTCTTCCCCAACCAGGCCAAGGAGAACGCGCATCTGCGCAACCTCGTCGCCTCGCGCGCCCGCGTGCAGTACATGCCGTCGTACCACGTGGCTAAAAAGTGCGGCATCACCTCGCTCGCGCTCGCCAAGCTCACGTCGAGCATGATGCTGGCATGGAAGGACCAGAAGGTCAACGTCGGCCTCAGCCTCAAATTCGAGGGCAAGGGCGAAAAGGTGCTCGGCTACTCGCGCAAGTCGGCCAACGGCTGGGAGTTTTCCGACAAGACGCTCGAGTTGGTCAAAGAGTACGTGCAGACTTTCCCCGAGATTGCGACGATGCTCAGCCACAAGTCGGGCGTCGACGTGACGCGTGCGACGCAGATCTGGGACGAGTCGCAGGTGGACGAAAAGATGACCGAACTCAAGGCTTGGATCAAGGCCAAGGGCGTGCGCGATCTGGAGACTGTACCGCTGTATGCAGAGCAGCTGTCCAAAGACACGGTGCAGCAGATCGAAGCCTTCACGGCTCGACTCGTCGACACGCGTACTGCGATCGGCGCCGCAAGCCAGGTGAAGCGCGTCTTCATCAAGGGCATCCCGCGCACGGCGCTGCTCAAGCCCAATCACGCGCCCTTCCGTCTGCAGGCGCAGAGGTTCGACCTGGGCGACCGTGTGATTATGGTCCAGGACTCGGGCAACGTGCCGCTCTCGGCGCGCGGTGTGGTCGTGAGCATCAACAGCAACTCGCTCGAGGTCGTGTTCGACGTGCCCTTCCTCAGTGGCACCACGCTCGGCGACAGGTGTGCGCCCTACAAGGGCGCCACCGTATCGTTTGTCAGCGTGCTCAATCTGACGCAGCCGCAGTTTGTGTGTGCCGGCACGAGCGGTGATGGCGACACGAGCGCGTCGGTGGGCAGCGCGCTCGAGCGTACGCTCGGCCCCATTGGTGGCACGGGCTCTGCGCAGAGCAACGGCAGAGGCAATGGTGCGCACGGCTATGGCGCTGGTTCAGGCGCTTACCGTCCCCCGAACGCGTTCACGCCCAGCGCGGCGCAGAACGGCAAGGGCAGGGAAGGGAGCACGCAGATTCTGCAGAGGCCGCAGCAGCGACACGCGCCCGTGCAGCAGGACGTCGCCTTCTCGGGCGTGGCCAGCGGAAAGCAGAGGCCGACCAAGGCGGCCGCAGCGTCTGCCAGCCAGGTCGACGAGATCAACCCGATCATGGCGGCGCTCGGCATCCGACCTCCCGCTGCGAATGGCCACGGTCAGAGTGGCGCACCCAGAGGCGCGCCGCGTGGTGGCGCTCGACCGACTGCGGGTGCAGCTCGCCCCCCACCGGCCACCAACGGGCCCCAGGTGACTGGGCAGGCCAGCGCCAACGCTGGTCGCGGTCGCGGTGGACGAGGCGGAGCCGGCGCCAATGGACGCGGCCGCGGTGGTGCGCCCCGAGGCGGCCGTGGCGGTCGTGGCGGCGCTGCGGCTGCGCCCTAGATTGGGTAATGCAACTCGAGTCTCGTCACTCGAAGACCAAGTCACCTCGCCCTGATAAATGTGTAGCTCGTGCACATGCTGTTCCTGGTCATCGATGCATCAATGCGAATGTTACCCAGCTGTCACATTGTTGCCACGCCGAGGTCTTGTGTGTTCGGTATGTCCGAGCGAGTCGGATGGGAGTGCAGACGTCAGATTCAATGGTTGAGCCGCGATCTTTTTTAGGACCGCATTTCAGGGCAGGAATTTTTGGGCCGCGGGTCATTTCGAGCCTGCGCGTTTAGGTGATTAGAGTCCAAGTTGGTGTGGAGGCGGTTATGACTTCATCCTGCACGCCTGGGCCGGGTGCGGTTAAGCATTTTTGTTTTGGCAGCAATTCGGACTTTAGCTTGGTTCCGATGAGGTTACCGGGTCGTCGGGTTCCACGCGGCGGATCATGATCAGTGCAGATGCAACGCAGATAAGAGCTCGAGTGAGCTTTTCGGTGCATTGGTTTGAGCGAAGGCTTGACGGGAAATGTCCGACGTGTGCGAAGAACCGGAGGCACAAAACAGACGATTGAGGAAGAATTGAGGTTTGTCTTGTAATCAGCATCTGTTCACCATGTCGAATCCTCGCACTACGCAGGCATACCGTCTCTCGTCATTCGACAAGAGCCTTGAAGGTCTTGTGCTCGACGACAAGGTTGCACTGCCCGATGCAGAGCAGCTAGCACCCACTGCGGTGCTCGTCGAGGTTCATGCCGTCTCGCTCAACGCACGCGACTACCAGATTGCATCGGCGACGTATCCTGCACCCACGACTCCTCCTGCGGGTCTGATTCCTGTTTCGGACGGAGCGGGAAAAGTGCTTGCGGTCGGATCGGCGGTCTCCACCGTCAAGACCGGCGATCGTGTAGTGACGCACCTCAGCTCCGACTGGCGTCACGGCGAGATTGGCAACGAGATGCAGGCCAGTGCACTCGGCGGGGGCCGCGACGGTGTTCTGGCCAAGCACGTGGTGCTGGACCAGTACAACCTGCTGCCCATCCCGGCGCACATGGACTATCGCCAAGCAGCCTCGCTTCCCGTCGCTGGCCTCACTGCATACCACTGCCTGCTCGGATTCCCCAAGACCGTCCAGCAAGGTCAGACCGTGCTGATCGAGGGAACGGGCGGCGTGAGTATCGCGGCACTTCAGATCGCGCTCGCTGCAGGCGCCCGTCCGATCGTCATCTCGAGCTCGGACGACAAGCTCAAGCTCTGCCAGAACCTCGGTGTGCACAAGGACGACTGCATCAACTACTCGAACGACAAAAACTGGTGGCAGACGGTGCGAGCTCGCACTCCGCGCGGCGAGGGTGTGGACCACACCGTCGAGATCGCAGGTGGCAGCACGCTCAACCGAGCCCTGATGGCCACAAAGGCGTACGGAAGCGTCTGGGTCGTGGTAAGTCCAAGACCAAGCTCCCTGGCGGCAATCGCATCTTCAACTGACTCTGCTCTTTCACGTGTGCAGGGCTACATGGACGACTACAAATCCACCAAGGACTCCGGTGACGGTCTGCCCGACACGGCCAAGGCGATTCTCTACTCGCAGGCGCAGGTGCAGGGCGTCATGTGTGGCAGGTAAGCTCCCTGCAAAGCGCTCAGATGAGCTTCAACGGAACTAACCTCTCCTGTTCTCAACAGCTACAAGCTCTTCCAGCAGTACCTCGAGGCCCACGCCACCGCACAGCGCAACGTCGACAACAAGCTGGCCTCGATCAACGTGCTCCAGCCGCTCGTCATCCCGGAACAGGTGTTCAGCTTCGCCGACGCCAAGAAGGCCTTTGAGCTCCAGGGATCCGGTCGTTTCGTCGGTAAAGTCATCATCGACGTCGCCGACGCCAACTAGACATCACCTTTGGCAATCTACTTTCCCATCGGAATCGCAACTGGGAACACAATGCGAAGCCTGGCGCGGTGTGCAAGTCGATTGGCATTTCTGTGCAACGTTGAGAGAAGCGGTGTAGATCAAGAGACTGGTAAAAAAGATGTACAAAGGCAGAAAAGTTTGTCGTAGTGGCGGAAGGGTTGAGGCTTGCCTATCCACACCGCTGCGCGGCGTACCTCGGGAAAGAAAGGGGGATCGTGGGATATCAAATCGGTTTGGATCGGAGGTATTCGAGGCATCGAGGAAGCGAACGGACATGTGCGAGAAGCGCACTTATCCTACGCGGGTCTTGTTCTCGCGCTCTGCCTGCTTGATCNCGGGAAAGAAAGGGGGATCGTGGGATATCAAATCGGTTTGGATCGGAGGTATTCGAGGCATCGAGGAAGCGAACGGACATGTGCGAGAAGCGCACTTATCCTACGCGGGTCTTGTTCTCGCGCTCTGCCTGCTTGATCCTCTCTTCGAGCGTCTTGGACTTGTGCAGCTGCGAGGCGGTGAGACGGTCGCGCTCGCCCGTGTTGCGGTCCGAGTAGCGCATGCCGTCGGCGACCGAGCCCTGGTAGGACGAGGTGGTGCGGTGCAGCTCCGTGTTGTTCTTGCCCGGGTTCGTGTCTGTGCGCTTCATCTTCTTGCCGTCAGACGGACTGGACATGCAGGAACCCTGAGGTGGGCGCAAGTCGTCGTTGGCGCAGAGTCGCAGAGACAAAAGAATGATCCATCATGGTCAGTCAACTTGCACCACCAATCCGTGATGCGAGCAGAAGCGCAAGCAAACGTATGTAGGCGTTGCTCTTGCGACTGCCCAGCGTGCGTGTCGGGCTGCGAGAAACGGATCGACAACTTACCATCTTGACTAGTGTGGATGCTTATCGAGCAACGAGAGAGATATAGAGTGAGCGGTTGTGTTGTAGCGACCTTGGCGAACGAAGTCGAGGTAGCGAGTGAGGACGATTGAGGATCGGAAGCGGTCGTTGATTGGCTGTGGATGGTGGAGAGAGGCCAAACTCGAGCTGAGCAGAGGTAGCAGCCCCGTATCTGGCGTTCGATATGTTGCAGCGCGGCCGGATGCAGGCCTGGCAGCAGGCGCTTAGCTGCCGGCCCCCAAAGGTCTAGACATCCGCACAGGCTCCTGGTCCAACTCCACACGGCTGGCTCGCAGTGCGAAAAAAGATTGGGCTCGGCTCAGCGCAGCCTTTGGGATGGACTGAGCGGGATGGGAATGCAACGGGCGGCACGACGGCACACGCAGCCGGCGCTCGTAAGCACGCACAATGACACAGGTGTTTTGAAATGGCCCCTGCACCCGCCTCGCAATTCCGTATTCGACAATTCAAGTTGAATTCCACCGCGACCCTAGCTGCGCAGCACCAAGCTGACCGCCTTTGTATTGCACCCTGCGGTGTGGTGTTGCAGAGCTGCATCCGCCTCGCAACTCGCTTGCCCGCCTCGCTGATCGCCTGTCTCTGTTCAGCATGCGTCCGTGCCCCCTTTGCGTGCCTGCCGTCTCTCCTAGCCCAATGGACAAGCTCGCCAGTCTCTCTCAGCCCGCCGGATCGCTTCTATCACCTGACGCCACAGCCAGGCTCGCTGCGCAGCTTCGTGGCACACGCGACACACTGCAGGTTCCAACGCTCTGAGCCAAGGACGGCTGTGTACTGCTGCTATGCCATCTGTACGTCAGGATGACTGCATGCTGCACAGCCATGAGTCCGGCGACGGCGCCAAGGGCGAGCACTGGACAGCCATCTCGGGTGTGTGTCCTTCCAGACGGCACTCGAAGTTTCCGTGCTCTCGCGCTGACGGTCTTGGCGCTTGTCATGATGCGCCGCAGACCAGGCCTTGGCAATCTGGTTTCGGCCTAACAACTGATAGAGCCTCATTTCAGTGTTTGCGGGATTCGACATCACACTTGGCGCGCCGGAAGAAAATGCTCAGATGTCTGACTCCATCTCGGCTCTCACCTATTCGTTCGATGCTCTCTCGTTCATCAGCTTGGAAGCCCAATCGTCCATGGACTGTCGTGGCTTCACACGGGTCCATACGCGGAGCTGCATACTCTACAGCGTTATTGTCGTGCATACGCCGAGGGCAAGCCAGGGTTTCGGCGTGACAGGATCTGCAACACAATTTGCAAACGTCGTTCTACCTCGCCGGCTTCATTTGTGATTGGAAGTGCACACTCCGCTCCGAATTGGCAATCTTTCGGCTCGGCGAGGGAGAAGATGTGGGTACTGAAGGCCACTCTCAACAAGTCGCGCATCCGCCGCCGAAAGCATGCAACCCTTCGACGTCTGCTTCCACAGGAGCGTTCATCCTCAAGCCCTGCGGCTCCTGACAAGATGGGGAGAAGAATGGGCGGCACCGAGAGAATGCCCCTTTGTCCTTCTTTGTTCTTCTGATTTGCATTCACCACGCTATCTCGCTTCTGCATTCACGCACCGATCGCTACCAATGTGCAGTGCGCGAAACGGATCTCAAAGAAACGAGCACGGTGCCCCACTGCATGAGTGGCTCGGCTACGCCTCGGCTCCGGCGGTGTGGAAGCCAAGGACCGGCACCGAGACGCTCTTCATTTCGCTCGACTTGAAAAGACAGCCAAATGACCCGGATAAGGCCCGAGACAAACTGCACCCTCTGTGGGCAGGCATGGAGCGAACCAGGATCGCCCAGGGATTCTGATCTTGAAAGGCGTCTTGCGTCTCGGATAGTGACACGCGAGAGAGGCCGGCAAAGCGGTCAGACGTCAAGGCAGCAGCGGTTCATGATCTTCAAAACGTCTGTCGCCAGCGGAGAAGCATCAAGTCGGAGTTGCCAAGTTTCGATCCGAGCAGGCGGATGTGTCGTGCGACAAGGCGGCGCGCGCCCGCTAGCGGCTGCATTACTCCGGTGAGCTTCCGATCTTGACTCATTCGCTGCGCGACGCCACGTGTCGCTCATTGGGGCGCAGCAGCCTGACTCGCGTCCGGCCAACAGGTCGGCGTCGGTCGCCTTGCTTATCCGCCACAAGCCCAAGACGCTGCTGCACATCGCGTTCCTGGATCAGCACATGTCTGAAGCGGCAGGATGGGCTCGACAAGCCTGTCTTTGCATCGCGACCCCCGCCATCGATCGCCTCGCTTCCGATGTTGAAGGATCAGGATTGGGTGCGCACCGTGCTCGCCACACGAGAAACACGCCGCAGTGTTGCGGTCAGCGTCGCGCTTGCTCGCTCTTCACACCTCATGGGCCGACTCACACGGAACAGGGCAGGGCAACCCACAACACCGGTCCGTCTCGCTCTTTCGGACCCAGCGCGGACTCTACGTGAATACAGGTGCTTCGGTGCAGAGACGGTCGGCGTCCGTGGAAGCAAGAGCAGAAACCCAAAGGGTCACCGGCAGCTTCCAACTCAGCCGCAATCTTCACGAGCCAGCGTCGGCACTGAGGCAGGAGAGTGCGCCCATCCTTGCCAGCCGCAAATTTCTGAAACCATCAGATCCGCGGAAAGATGCCAAACCGAGTCGGATCTCGGATTAAGCACAAGGTCTCACAGAACAGTGGTCCGACTCTCCGACGACCTCCAGTCAAGGGACACGACAGCTCGCCAAGCTTTCAGGAACGATCTGACGCCGGAAGTCACAGCGCGCGATCGGTGTTGAAAAACAGGGATCCACCGCAAGCTGGGCAGGTAAGTTCGCGATGGAGCGGAGTGGCAAAACGCCAAACGACCAAAGGTGCGTGTGGGAATTTGACGAGGGGGCAAGGTCCCATTTCCTCCAGTCGGGTAATTCCGAAGGGTCCAAGCAAGGGTTTGCTCAATTTCAAGAGCCGTTCGTCGCGTCCCTTTTTTCCTTTTTCTTTTTCTTTTTCTTTTTCTCGCGCGCGCGTGGCAAAACGGAGAGGAATCGC